TTTTTCCATTAATCAGTTTTTATGCTCTCTAGATGCATGCAGTACACAGAAAACTCCATATCAATAAATAATCAGCAGCAGGGGTGATTCTGTATTTCCACATTTGGGCTTTGATCATTTATTCGTTCTGACATTATTTCTTTTTTTGATTCAGGGGCTACCCCTAAAGGTGTTCTTAGAGTCATGGGTGTGCAAGGCCTAACAATTTACCATGTAAAAAGCCATTTACAGGTATACATGCTGCAGAAAAATATTCAGAACCAACTGTGACTCATGCTTTCTTTAAATTGAAATAATTCATTTTAGTTACTGATTTGCATTATTTGCCTGTTCATTCAGAAATATCGGCTTGCTAAATACCTCCCAGATTCCTCTTCTGATGGTAGGGTCCTTTAGAATTTTAAATTTCAACTACGTTTATTTATTAAAGCTTTAAAAGAGGCTTAATTCCTTTGAAAATGTGGTGATTTTGATGATCCTCCAGTAACACTTTTTGATATAATTTTTTGCCTGCAATTGTGATTACAAGGGAAACAATCTGACAAGAAAGAATCAGGAGACATGCTTTCCAGTTTGGATGGTTCATCGTGAGTAGATTATCCCTGTTTGCTGGTAGTTTATGAAGTTGCAAGCTTTGAATGTCTCATAATTTACAGTTTCACACTAATTTTCTGTATACACCCACTAGTGCCTATGCATTCTAAATTTGAATAATCTTTGCCTTTTTAGCTGAAAAATCTTCTTAAAACTGTTGTACTTTTTGTGATTTTAATAATGTGAACTGTTTCTCTTTTCTAGGACTGGTGTGCAGATAAATGAGGCTCTAAAACTGCAGATGGAGGTCCAAAAGAGACTTCACGAGCAACTGGAGGTATGTTCTCCTGGACTTATTGTACACATTTTGAATGCATTTAATGTTTTTGGATAATTAAAGCATGAGACAAAGTGAAACACACCATTTGATTGCAAGTTATTTTCTACCTATTTGAGAGTGTCTTTTCACAGTTGCCATTTTTTTAAGGAGATTTTCGCACCTGATTTTAACCTATTATTAACTCTACTTTTATTTTAAACTTTCCATTGAAACAAACATGCGTGTGAAAGATGTTTCTTCTGTTACTTCCCATTAATACATTAATTGAGGCTTAAATTTCTCATCTTTGGTTTGAATTTCTCTAGTCTTCAAATGTTGTCATATATACTCTATACTATCCGTTGTAGACATGAAAGAAGATCTTTTACTTGTTGCATTCCATTTTAGATTCTTTTGGTTTAAACATTCCATTTCAGATGAGAACATGTAAAGTAATTAACTATCCATTTTCCTACGTACCACACCTAAATCACATATTTTGTTTCTGATGGACGTAGCACATACTTATGGTTATGGAGATTGCTACCAAATGAAGTGGCCTTTTAGTTGCATCTTCAAACATTTCCCTTGAAATCTACCAGGACTCTTTATTGGGCAAACTGATATTTGTATGAGGATAACTTGTTTCATTTTGATTTCATCTCATATCATCAGTTTGTTAAACAGGAAGTTGTGTGGGACCTATGAAAGAACACACCCTCCAACAAGAGTTCCCTTTGAAAGTTATAATTAATTCTTAGGGATTTTGAAGGTTACTTGTTCTCACCTACTTCCTTTCTTACCCTTACAGGTTCAAAGACAGCTACAACTTAGAATTGAAGCACAAGGGAAGTACTTGAAGAAGATAATAGAAGAACAACAGCGGCTCAGTGGAGTTCTCTCAGAAGTTCCTGATTCTGGGGTGACTCCTTCAGCAGCAGGTGACAATGGTCTAGATTCCGATAACCGGACTGATCCAGGGACTCCTGCACCAACATCTGAGTCTCCTCATATTGATACGTCTGTACAAGAGCATGGCCGTAGCAAGAGCCTTTCTATTGATCAATCATTCTCCTCGCAACATGAGCCTCTTACTCCTGATTCTGGTTGCCGCGAGACTTCACCAATAAATAGCTCTGAAGGTGAAAGGTCATCAAAGAAACAAAGAGTGGGCACATTTACAAAAGCAGATATGCTACTGCCGCACCAGATATTAGAGTCGAGCTTGAGCTCACGATACGAGCAACCAAATCCTGTTTTCGTGGCGAGGGAGCAATTCAATCTCTCATCAGGGTTGTCTCTTGGCAATGAAGGACCAAATGTTCGTGGAAGCAACATATAGTTACTACTCCATGGACTTCAATTTAACTGCTCTTATGTAGTGTGAAAATATATGTTGTGATTTGGTGACAGAAGCTACTTTGCTTACTGAATGTGGTATGGATTAAATATGGTTTATTCTCATGTAGTAATATTGTTTAATGAGAGCCTTAAACTTTAGGATTTTTCTTTATCATTTAGAGGTTTGAAGTTGTGAAGTCTTGCTGTCTGCACTAATGATGCTCTGAGAAGTGGGAACAATGCCTGGGGCACTGTTTTCGTACATGAACAATACATTATTTAGGGTTTCTTCACACCAGTTACGTGCCTCGGGTTTGGGGAGTTGGTTAGCCAAGTCAAACTTAAATGTACACCATCAAATCTCCTCTGAATGCAATTTACCATGCTACTGTTCACTATGAATTCACGACTGTCTATGAAATATATATATTTCATCATTCAAGCATCGTTCTATGACATTAGAGATGTCAGTACAAGTTAGTTAGTGGGTGATGTCTAATAGTTATGTATTATTAAAGTCAATTGACTTCATTAGTTGGAGTTGAAAGCACCTAGAATTGTTGAAGGATTGGATTGAGCCAAGTACAATACTATTTGCTAAATCATCCCTACTTTCCAATACATTTTCGTTGATCTAACAAATTTCCAAACAATAAGAATACTTCATCACTGGCATATCCCATTGCTGTAGCATTCAACATCCACCCAGCAGCAGAGTAACTAACACTATGGTTGAGACTCGATCGAGGATTGATGGAGCCAAGTATGCATTTGCCATATCATCCCAAGCATTGCCACATCAAAAGCATTCGCCAAGAGAGTCTTTTAGCAGTATTAAAAGTAATGTCTACTATTTTAATTTTCCAACACCAACCAGGACAAGGACTTGCTACTGTGCCCATTATTAACGAGATCATAGTTGGTGTCATGGAAATCAAATAAACATAACTTTGATCAAAACTCAATACATTAATACCAAGTGGGACTTACTAAAGTTTAAAGTCCTAGCTAGGAATTATTGACATGTTCATACCTCCTAAGGACAAGAAAAGAAAAAGTAACTTGAAGGATTTAAACTAGAAAAGATCAAGACCTCCAAGTTCGAGGGGAGTGTTAAAGTAACAAGGAAGAAAAATTAGTTAACTTAGTTATGAGTCATAACTAATTAACTTCTCATCTCGGGAGTTAGAGGTGATATCTTGATTACAATTGTATATACTATTAACAATCTAATCTAACACACATTGAAATATAGAAAATCAATTGATCCTCAAAAAATAAACCATAAATATAATGGTAAACAATGTGTATTGCAATAAAAATTGTCACGCTGATACTAGATATAATGTTAAAGAACTGCATTATTGAAATTGTTTTAATAGAGCTTCGTTGCATTGAAAACAATAAAAGCAATATAAATACAAAATATAATGGCAAACCAAAAAAAAAAAAGGTATGCTTAAATAAATATTGGAAGGACAACCAAAAAATATAAGAAAAAAACTGAGGTAAAACAAAAATTACAAATAAGGTGGAAGAATTTGTCCTTAATAGGATAAATATTCATCCTAATTTTTCAAGTATTGTGGACTAACAAATCACACTATTTTCAGAAACTTGCATTGTTGTGTATTTTTATTGAACAACTCAAGTGTATAAATATTAAGTGATCCCCCCCCCCCCCTCCCCCCCAATTTTTTATTAGCACGAGTACAGACGAGAGCTAGTAAATTACTAAAAGTAGGATGTTCCTATTTATAAAGTTAATTACGATTTTATCTTTATACTTAATCAAAATGTAGTAAATAAAATATTTAATATAATTAAATAATAGTTAAAATGTATTGTCTCTTCAAAATTAATACACATAAATATAAAATCACTAAATTATAATATGCAATCTATCATATGCTCTTTAGTTTGATAAAAATAATAATAATAAAAAAAAAATAATACGTTTAAGTATTCCAACTATACAATAATTGACACTCACTAATTATTAATGTTCCTAGCGAAATAAAACAGTACAAAATTCAATTGATAAGAATTGAGGTGAATGTATACATAATAATTTTTTAAAAATCTTTCATACATAATAAATAATGACACTTATTATGGTTTTTCTTTTTATTTTCTTAAAAAAGATCTTTTATGGCCTTGAGTATGTTATATTTTGTATATATTGTTTTATTTTTCAAACTAGACAATAGTCTGAGGTGATTTATATCCATATCAATTTAAATAAAAAGAAATAAACTGAGTCTTCAAATTAGCTTACAATTTTACTCTGCTATTTAGTTAAATATTATTAATAAAATATCAAATATAATTAAATAATAATAATATTGAAATTTCATGAAGACAATTATGAATTTTCAATGTTGCATGAAATCAAAATCTAATTAATAGCACGTAATATTTAAATTCAGACAAACATTTGTGAATTAGATAGATATTCAATTAAGTATAGCCCTTAATAATTTTTACTCATCAATCAATTTTTAAAATACATAAATATGAATGGTTCAAGAAATTTTATGGGTTATTGCATAAGTAAAGCAACAATTTAATGCAGAATTATTATAGGAAAGTTTAGAAAGCCATATGTATTATTGACAAAGAAGGGTTTAAAACTACAAAAATTGATCAAATTGTTGCTTCTGCTATTCATTCATCTTCAAGATCCACAATATGCATTTTTGTTCACTAAAATTGAATTTCTTGTGAAAAATATTCTCCAATTGAATTACAGCACTACTCTGGTTTTCTGATTCTCTTCTTGTCTAATCTTTTCTTTGATCAAATTCTACAAACTCTGCTCCTCCACAATAATTGGGTAGAGATGCAGGAATCCCAGCTATTCCATAGATTTACAGTATTAACAGCAATATCTAATTGCGTTTATACAGATTTCAAGAGATTACTACACATCCTCATCAGCTGGTTGTGGGTCATCAAAAGTACATTCGTCAATGTACTCCCTCTTCATGGCACACAGAACATACTCTTTGCGATCCTCACCAAACCTACTAAAAAAATACCGGAGAGAGTTTATACTGCTTCATGATCCAATGTCCAAATTCATGAACATAATGCATCTTCTTCTTAGTTCCCATAACAAGTGATGTTGATACATTCCCTATTTTGAAGAAAATCGGGATTTCCTCGCCTTGTTGTTTCCAATTGCCATTGTTGTTGTTTTTCTTTGTGATGAAGTAACGATAGCTATAGTCGTCATCATCAGCTTCTAATCCTCCAGTGGGTACTCCCTGACTGTAAATCCCCCATGGCTCTTCTTCACCATACACATCTAAGTTGGTCGTGATCAATCCATCATCATTCATCGCACTTTTCGCCACAAATCTTAGAAAAAATTGAAGTCGTTCTTTAGCAGATGAATGGAAATGGTACCCCATGACTGCAATTTTCAGATCCAAAATGAGAAGAAAAGGCGGGAGAGAGATGTGAAGGAGAAAGGAGGTATTCTGAGAATTTATCTCAATTTTGTTTTTCATATGCATATATTTATTGTAACTTTTCCTCCAAGTCGGTTTATTTTGCTTTCTTACAAGCATCCTTTTTCTTTTCCCTATCATATATGAAAACTTTTTAAAATCCATACAAAAGATTTTTCAGTATGTGTTTAGTTTCAAAAAAATAATAAATCAATATATCATATTTATAATATCAAGCGTCCTAATTAAATTCAATGTATCAAGATTAAAAATAATTGATTTCTCTTTTGGTAAATACCAATTATATATAACTAGAGATGTTAAAAGGGGAAGGCCCTCCCTACCCAACCCAAACTTTGTGGGCCAAGGAATTAGAAGGCTTAGGACGTGCTGACCCTTCAGTCTAAAAATGTTCAACCCAATCTAATCCTAGAAGGTCACAGGCTAGGGCGGATTAACCCTTTTTTTATTTTATTTCTTTTCAAAATTAAAATTCTATGACATCAAGAATAAGAAGATTTTCAAATCAAATGTAGCAAACAATGGCGTTGTTTCAATAACAATAACAAAAATTCTAGTGTGATTAATATGTATGTATGATACTAGATACACGAGTAGATGTATCTGGTTTATTACATCCCACATACGCGAGCGAGATGGAAGGGAGGCAAAGGCGCGATATTTGTCAATGTATCCTACATACATGCGGATCCACTTCGATAGAGTATATTTTAAAACAAATTACACAAAATTTTGAGTCCATGTATCCGGGTCATGACACTTAATTTCACAAGTTCAACTAGCAACTCAGCACTTGGGCTTTGCAGCGGTAGTTTTTGCGATTAAGATTTGGAGGAACTACCTACACGAAGTTCATTGTGAGATCTACACCGATCAAATTAGTCTTTAGTACATCATTAGCATGAGGATCTTAATTCGAAGTAACGTCATTGGATTCAGCTCCTATAGGACTACGACCTTTCTATTCTCAATCATCTGACCAAGGCGAGTGTTATAGCGAACTCCTTGAGCCGAAAGGTAGTTAGAAAGGCAACTCTAGACTTCCTATCTACGGTGGATCAACCTTAATTAATTCCTTAGCTAATAAGATAGTTCAACTGTATATTTCAAATTCTTGGTGTGTCTTAGCTTATGTGGGAGTTTAGTTTCTTTGCTTCATCAAACTCGTAGCCCCCAGATTTATGAAAAGGCTTCGTGGAACTTCAAGATCACATGTTACCGAAGATATTTGTCAGTTTACTGTAGATTTAGATGGTTTTTTGCGGTTTATGAGTCATATTTGTTTTTCGAGAGTTAGGAGTTTGACCCGTTGATACTTCGAAAGGCCCATGAATCTAGATACTCTATCCATTTCAAGCACCATGAAGATATATCACGACTTGAGGTAAAATTATTGGTGGGCCGGCATGAAGAGAGATATTGCATAATATGTGACCCGTTCCCTAAGTTGCCAACAGGTGAAGGCCAAACATCTAAGACTTGGTGGTGAGTTTCAAAAATTACCTACTCTTGAGTGAAAGTGGGATCACATAAGTATGGAATTTCTGATAGGCTTGCCTCATACTTTTAAAAGGGATTGACAACATTTGGGTCATCTTTGATTGATTGACCAAATCATCACATTTCCTCCTTATTGAGTCTTCATTCAGTGCCGAAAGGTTAGCCCGTATATATATATATATATATATATATATATATATATATATATATATTTGAGAGGAGGTCCATATTCATTATGTGACCATCTTTATTGTTCATATCGGGGTTCTCCGTTCACTTTTGAGAGTTTGGAAGATCCTTCGGGAGGAGTTAGAGACTTGCATTGACCTTAGCACAACTTTTGACTCGTAGACTGATGGACAGTCGGAGTGTACTATTTATGTCATTGAGATATATTGCGGGCTTGTGTTTTCGGGTTTGGAGGTCATCGAAACCAGTTCTTTACTTTGACATAGTTTGTGTACAACAATATCTGCAACTTTAGCATTCATATGGCTCCGCTCGGTGCCATATATGGAAGAAATCGTCTTTTTATAATTAGTTAGTTTGAGTCCACACAGCCTAGACCGCATGATGTATTCTTGTTTTAGAAGTCCTTTTTTGTACTCATACTACACTCAACATCTTTCGTGATGGAGTTCCTAGTACCAGCTACATCAGTGATTGTTCGTGGCATCTTTTGCAGCTTTTCGAGATCGGAGGCAAGAGAGAGCACTTGGCATCCTGGATCAGCCTGTCCCCCCCTTAGGTTAATATGTTTATCTAGTCTTATGCCTTTGAAACATCTCGGTGTGGTTCACCTTTGGGACTTGTATTTTTTTACTAGACACCTCTATACTCATAAATTCCAGGTTTCAGGAGGGATTCTAATACATATAAATTTTGGTTTACTTTTGTTACTGTCTTATTTTTACTGTTACTGCTATTTCTTCTTAGTTTTGCCCTGATACTAACTACTTGTCGTTCTGGGTACAGATAATCTTACCTACTGATGGGTTATATAGATTTATATTGGGTCATGACAAATCATTAGCACTCAATTAAACCTTCAAATCATAGTCACACCAATTAAGAAGAATAACTCAAATTTATTTATCCAACCCACTTTAGATAATCATAATAGGATTCATGTTTTCATATGTACAGTTAGCTATAGGGAATTTGAAACTATGCCCAGTTCGTTTGTTTACCTTAAATATGAAATGTGGCGTTTTTCCTATCACGTTCGTCCACGAAATCAAGCTGCTTCTACTTGTCTTTTCTAAAATAAATATGTACTAACAGTGACAAATCATACTAACATATTTTAATTAATATGGGTCAAATGATATAGTGTCTTAAATAAATTTAAGACTTAGCCCATTATTACCAGCAAAATTAATTATCTAAAAATTACTTGTCAATTAATTAACAATAGTAATAGTTCAATGTTCTAAAATCAACTTCACCGCTGGATCATAAATTACTACCGAGTGGGGTAAATGGTTATTTTATGAATTATTCCAAAAATGACCTTCTAGGTTGTTAAAAATATAAATAAATATTTAATAATTTTAGTTTAGGGGAGGCGTTAAAAATAAGAAAAAAATATCCAAAGGCTTGTATCAAGGGCAATTTTTAGCCAAAAATCTAATGTCACGGACTCATGGTATTTGGGCTGAAGGATGGATAAATGATAGTTTCTTACCAATTCAAATAGTTAAGGGCATTTAGGCACTTGTATCATATTTATATACCATGTTGCCTAATCTACTTAGTCCAATTTAAGTCAAATATATAATAAAAACAACATATGATTCACATTTTGGCCCGATCTTGAAAATAATTTTTTTTTAAAATATTGATTTCATGATATTTTCCTATTGACATATTTTAAATACAACAAAATTTATAATAACACAATTAATTATTTGGAACTAACTAAAATCCATACTCGCCCTATCTCATTTTCAATCTACAAAAAATATTATTTTATTAATTTAAAATTTTCTATCAATTATCCAATTGTATTGTACATACCTTTTTTTTAAATTCCTTTTCAATATCTTAGTCTTAATTAGGATATCAAGAATTCAAAATTGAAATGAACTTACATGTTTCAATTCTTTTAGTTTGTATTATTTCATGGTGGGTGGGTATAAGATAAAAGGTTATCTTCATTCTTATAGTTTGAATTTTTGGTACACACAAAAACAAATTGCAGTATATATACATATTTGCTCCATTAAATCATTTTATAATAAACTAATTATGTATAAATATTTATCTTATTATTTTTTTTACCTTTTTCCTCACATGGTTAATGTCACGACACGAGAGCACCCCCGAGTCGAAACAAGGCGTACTTGACCCGTAAGGGGTTTCATACAAGCCTCTTAGCATTCATTCATCACATAGGCAGTAAAAATAGTGCGAAATAAAAATTTTTCTCAACAAAGACAACAATAGAAAACTCTTTTATAAAACGAAGGAATACTAAGTCTCAATATAGCCATCTTAGAAACCACATCAACTTCATAGGGACACGACCCTTTTCAATCGAAATAAACTACTAAGAGTCTATTTCATAAGAAGAAAACACAAGAAGTTCTTTGTCCTCGAATCTATGAGGACGTACCAATTCTTGGAGAATAGAGATCCAAGTCTTCAACTACCGAATCCACCTAGCACTTTCAACCTACACTTTGTAGTAAGAACATGAAGAAGATGGTGTTAGAACAATTAAGCACTAAGTATGATGAACATGCAAAAACATCCTAAAAGGGATATTTTGTTGAAAGCCATGCCTTATGCCCTTTTGTAAAACTTCATGAACCATTGAACAATATAGGCATAGTATAAGTCACAACAACCATACAAATCATAATATCTCATTTAAACCATTACATTTACCTTTCCACCTTTGCCATAAGTTGTCATACTCCAACTGGTATCAACATGCAATATATAAGATCATACATAAAATAGAACATTTATTATTCTAGGGCTCTATCTAATGTTACCCTAAGACACCCATAAGTAACACATAAATTGGCAAACCATACTACCTTTTCATGCTGCAAGTATTCTCAAGGTCCCATTTAGACAATAATCTTTATATTTTAACCTAATAGGCTAAGCAATCCATTTCATTAATATAGGAGAAAAATGCATCACATTAAAAAGACAATAAGTCAACCTTCATTATTTTATTCATTTAGAGGACCTTCACATTAGTCATGCAAACTTAGGGAACTCACTCAAGCACCTTCTAATCCTACTCGCGTCATGTGTAGATAGCATCCCATACTACTACCTACACGTTGTAGTACCTATCAAGTAACTAGAGTTCACATATCACATAATGGAAAGAGGAATTCAGCGACATAGACCATACAAGCTAGATATGAAATCCGTTGCTCTATCCCCACACCGTAAATAGGTGTTTTACTTGCCAAGGG